CCATTGTACTCTGTCTTGAGCACTTTTCATCCAATTTCTTGACATGTTCTTGAGATCCTCAGTCCAACGTGTAGGGAGTCTTCCTCTACATCTTTTGTCTAATCTCGGTCTCTACTCAAGCAATCTCTTCGTCCACCATTTCCATTTCAGTGTGGCAATTCGGAAAATTACATCGGTAAATCCTGTTCTTCGTCTTAAGTATTCATTTCTAACTCGGTCAAGAAGCGATATACTCAGCATTGAGTATATCGCATTTTCATTTTCCTCTGAGCTATTTGCAGCATTTTAGAACTTGTAGAGGTGGATTGTAGAGATTGCAGCAGATGGATAGTGGAAAGGAACATAATGAAGAGAGAGACAGGTGTGAATTTTGTTACACTGAGAGAAATTATTGAGAGAATGATTGAAAATAAATCAGGTTGGACTAACATACACAGCTGTATCCGTGCAGTGATCAAGAAATAGGAAGAGGAAGAAAGATAGCTGGACAAACGGCACAGATAAGAGTGAAAGATACTGAAAGTTGAAGCTAGAAAAGTGGGTCAGACTGTATGAGTTAGAATGCGTGAGTTAGACTGTGGGGAAGGGGAAATGCCCGTCTGGGAATGATGCCGTATTCGGAGCGATGAGGGTCTTCTACGCGCTACCTGGAACGAGACAGGGAGCCTCCTTGCTGATAAATAGAGTGTGGATGTGTATGAATGGAGAATAAATGAATAAAGGTAGTGCTTCGGAAGTAGGGCCGTCCTTCCAGCGGCCATTTCGCTTCCGGATCGCTGGATGACAGAGGAGGTCTGGTTTAGCAGGTAGGCGTTCGGCGTTTACTTGGCGACGAGAGGGCATTTCAAAGTACTTCGGAAACTATCGCCGGGAGTACGAAGAACGAATCCTGCACTAAGGTCAATCAGGCGGCGTCCTGGACTGAGATATCTTTTAAAGATTCCAGACCCCCTCTCTATAAAGACGAAAAAAAAGGTCATCATGTGTTTCCAAATCCGGTACGAAATCCTGCTTGCTCTATTGGCTGGTAGAAATCAAGTTTTTTCTCAAGACGATTCGTTACAATTCTAGTAAGGAGTTTGTATAGGTGACTAAGAAAACTTATAGGTCTGTAGTTTTCTAATTCATGGGGATCTCCTTTTTTGTACAATAGAATTACCTCAGCATTGTGCCATTTGTCGGGTATATTACTGTCCAAAAGGCACATGTTAAAAAGGTTTTTTATTTTCTTAAGTAGGCAAGTGCCTCCGATTTTGATTGCTTCAGTAAGTACACAATCTTCGCCTGGAGATTTGTTATTCTTTGCTTTTCTTAGGGCTAGTTTTATTTCGTGCATTATGATTTCCGGTAGTAGTTCTGATCCTTGGTTGACAATGCCCTTTTTCCTTGTTAATATTTCTGGTATTTGATCTTCTCTACTATTTGCTTTGTGTTGGTTTGTGTACAGCAATTTGTAGAAGTCTTCAACTATTTTAAGGGTTTCCTCTCTGTTGGTTGTAAGATGACCATTTCTATGTTTCCTTGTCCTTGTCCCCGTTCTTAGTCTTTTTCTCAATCTTTCATACTTCTATTGTTCTCAATGGTATGATCGAGTTGTTCTTGGTTGTATTTTCGAGTGTCTTGTCTAACAGCTTTCGATATTTCTTTATTTAATTTTTGTCATTCGTCGGATTTAGTTTTGGTCTCGATTGCTTCTCATTTCTCTTCTTTTCTGCATTAGTTGCCTAGTATTTTGGCTAATCTTCTCTTCTTTTTGAGTTCTAGGACAGAATTTGTTTTGACTTTCCAAGTAAAGCGTTTGTTAATTTAATATTTAAGTCGTTTATTTTATTTTCTGTTTCAGGACTACTAAGTATGTCGGAAATACATTGTTGAAAACTGTCTACATGGTAGGTGTAGATACCCAAGTAGATACCCAGGTAACCATGGATGGTTTCATGCATGGTTTTGATTTGTTCTTCTTTTTAATCATCTTATACCTCTCCTTCTTTAAGCTATTTTTTCAACCTATTCTCTATCCTTCCATTGTTGGATATAGGTCTCCCCCAGTTCTCTCCATCTTTCCCTATCTTGAGCTGTTCTCTGCCATGTGGGACCTCCTTGTTTCCTGATGTCATCTTTCCACCTCATCTGTGGTCTGCCTCTTGATCTCTTTGCATTGTATGGACGCCACTTTCCGATGGCATTGTTCCATCGTCCGTCTTGTAGACGTTCATTGTGTCCAGCCCATTTCCATTTCAGTTTTGCTGCTTGTTCTATCGCGTCTACTGTCTTTGTTCTGGTTCTGATCCACTGGTTACGTTTTCTATCTTTAAGTGATATACCCAACATTTGTCTCTCCATCGCTCTTTGTGCCTTCCTTATCCTATCCAAATTGGCCTGTGTAAATGTCCATGTCTGTGCTCCGTAGGTGAGCACCGGTATTATACAGGAGTTATATACCTTGCTTCGTAAGTATAGAGGGATTGTTTGATTTTTTAGAACGTAAGAAAGTTTGCCGAACGCTGCCCATCCCATTCTTACTCGTCTCGATATTTCGGCTGTTTGATTTTCTCTGTTAGCTCTGATTGCTTGTCCTAGATAGATATACTCATTTACCTGTTCTATTTTTTCTGTTTGTATTTTTATTGCCTCTTGGTCTTCCGTGTTTGTCATTACTTTTGTTTTGTTGAAGTTAATTTTTAGGCCTTTTTGCAGTGATTTTTCATGAAGTTCATTCAGCATTAATTCCAGTTCTTGTCGTTCCGAGGAGATCAGGAGTATATCATCCGCATATCTAAGGTGATTTAGGTATTTTCCGTTAATACATATTCCTCTGTTTTCCAATCTGTTAATTTTATTATGTCTTCGAGGGTCATGGTAAACAGTTTAGGTGAAATTATATCGCCTTGTCGGACTCCTCGTTTAACTTCTATATTATCCGTTATTAATTTGTCGTCCAGAATTACGGTCATGGTTGCGTTTTGGTAAATATCATGTATCAATTGTCGGTATCTTGAATCTATTCTACTATTGACCAGAGCTTCTTCAACCGCCCAGTGTTCAATGCTGTCGAAAGCCTTTTAATAATCTACGAATGCTAAGTACAGCGGAAGGTTGTATTCATTGGTTTTCTCAATTAAGATTTTAAGCGCATGTAGATGGTCGATTGTGCTGTATCCTTTCCTGAATCCGGCCTGTTCCACTGGTTGGTAGTTATCAAGTTTATAGGTTAGTCGGTTGTTTATTATTCTTGTGAAGGTTTGATATAGTTGTGACAAAAGGGAAATAGGACGGTAGTTGTTTAGGTCTGTTCGGTCTCCTTTCTTATGTATTAAGATTGTGTTAGCATTTCTCCATTGTTTAGGTATTTTACCTTCAAACAGACATTTGTTGAACAGTATTTTTAGCATTTTTTTTTATCGTGTCTCCTCCTTCTTTTAGCAGTTCCGCCAGTATTTTGTCCTCACCGGCCGCTTTATTTCTTTTCATGTCGTTTATGGATTTTTCGATTTCATCTTCAGTTATTTCTGGTAATACCTCTGAGCCAACATTTTGTATTTTCCTCGAGAGATTCTGTTTAGATAATAGTGGTAGGTCATTTTTAGAACTGTATAGGTCTGTGTAATATCTTTCTGTGATTTTTACTATTTCTCCTAGATCTCTTTCTTTATTGTTCTCAGCTTTAAGCATGATTAGTTTTTTTTTCCTATATTTGTCTTCATTGTTTTTAAATTTTTGTTCTTCTCTATGATTTTCTTAATGCGATCTTCTTCTTTCTTATGGTTTTGTTCAGTTCGGTAAACTCCACTGTATTTCTTTTGTTATCATTCAGGAGTTGTCGTCGTTTTTTAGCATATCTTGTGATTTAGCGCTAATTTTTTGTTGTTTTCGCTTTTGTTTATTAGCAATCTTCAGGCCTGCTTTTAGTAGTTCTGTTGTTATTTTATCGTTTAATTCGTCTAGTTGAAAACCCTTTAGTTGTGATATGTCACTTCTTTTTAGCTGGTTTATGTATTGTTCTTTGCGTTCTTTAAGAAGTTCTGTATCTATCTCTTTTTTAGATGGTTTAAATTTTTGTCTGTCTGTTGTGGCGTTAATTTTGATTTTGGCTCTAACAATTCTGTGATCACTTCCTACGGAAATCATGTTTATGACCGTAACGTCTTGTACTATGTTCTTTTCTTTGGATAGGAAGTAATCAATCTCATTCTTTAAGCTTATTTCTATTTTATATGGTACCATTATATGATCCCTACTGGTACCAAATCTGTTTAGAAGCGTGAAATCTTTAACGGTGTGTTTTTTGTCCGTGATAATAAAATCTATTTCGTTTTGAGTTTTTTCATTAGGACTTTGCCATGTCCATGGCAAAGGTACATTTGCATTATTGTTTATAAAGCAAACAGTATTACTAATACTAACTTCATTTGTAGATTTGTAAAAAGTAGAAACTTTTTCTTCTAAAATCTCGACATCGTTTGACTTCAATTTAGAGAACTGTAATTAGAGAGGACCACCCCGTAAGGCAATAAAGTCAAAGGGAAGCATGATGATAAGTTCGTTATTATTTATAGATTATCTATAAATTTAGTAGAGAAATTGTAACAAATATGTACTTTTGTCAATATTTTAAGATTAATGGTTATGATTCACTATTTTATGCAAATTTAATAAAATAGTGAATACTTTTATGTAAATATTGCATATTTATGCAGAGTTATTTGCTTATTCGTTATTATAAGAATATTTATGGTTATGATTCACTATTTTATGCAAATTTAATAAAATAGTGAATACTTTTATGTAAATAGTGCATATTTATGCAGTGTTATTTGCTTATGTGCCGAGGTCTGGTAATGACTGATACGGTTAGCTATAATTAGGATGAGAGTGTAGAAGATATATACACAAAATAATGAGTATTTAAATGACTAGAAATAGAACTCGTTCAAATGTCCACAACCCACAACCACCTCAAAAATTTTCTTCCTATTAGTCATAATGACAAGAGTAGACGACGACTATGGATTGCGCACATGGGTGGGGGTGGAATTTTTTTCCAACATATGAATAACAATTTTTTTAAAATATACGAATTGATAAAGAGTGGGGATTACTCGGGATGGCGGGGTATGCGTCACACTCTAGATTAGATTGAAGAGTGCACCTGGGGCATCTTTAGTCAGTGCTTTAGAGGCCACGAAGCAATTTCTAGGATAGACGAACGACGCTCGCGACGACGCGCTGCGACGCACACGACAAAAAAATACACAATACGACACCACGCGCCATTTTGCCATTTTCTGTGTGTGCAGTGAAGTGAAGTGCTACTAAAATCTTCCAAATTTAACCCTTCTAAGAAGTAAGTGCATGTGCGTGCCTTTAGTGCAGTTCACTTGTGCTCTCGCGAAACTACCCTCTGGATACCAGCGGACTGAGGATGTCCTACTAAAACCACCGATTTGACGTGTCTGGATTGCACTACAGTAGTTTTACCCTACAATTGACATTATAAAACTTCATGCAACATTTTTCCAAAGTAAGAACTAACATTTTGGCCATCAGTTAACCAATATTGAAATATTGTCTACAGCTGATGGGCCTGCGTTCGGATGATTTATCATTTAGTAACATTTTAAGTTGCATGAAAGGTTATAAAGTCCTTGCAAGTCTTTTACTTAAAAAAATCGATTTCAGTCAAATTTTAGTAGTCCTCATTTTTCAATAGTTTCAGTTTTCTTCAAAATGTAACTGCTGTGTTTTTGTGACATTTTTTAAATAATAATTTTAATTTGAGTACTAAGTATTACATTTTTTATCCAATTGTCATAAAAATGATCAAGTCTAAATTTATAATGAAAATGTGATCCAAATTGATGTTCATTTATTAATAATAAAATGATCAGAGTGTTAAACTTGCTGGCAGTGACAATGGCTTAGAATAAACTTGCGGTATTTTAATTTTGAAAACTGTGGAAATTTGATATGCAATTGATAAGGTTGACATGCGCATTTCAAGCACAGTATGCCTGTAGGATCAACTTGAACCAATCAACTGAACGGTTTTTGTAGGACATCCAGTACGTTCTAAAAGTGAACTAACGTACGTTACATTAACCTCTTTAGCGCTTTTGACGCGGTCAAATGGATTTCGTATAACTCTACTAATAGTACGAAAAACAATCCGATTAACTGCTATTGGTTTGTTACTAACCATCATAGAGTGAACATCTAAGAGGTATTTCTGTTTTCCATTGTTTTAACAAAAACTATATCCACTTAAAAAAGTTCAGCAAGCACTAAAAAATTACATTTTAGCTTTTATTTTGAAATGTATGCATTAGGCGTTTATTAATATATCTTAAATTACAATAACATAACCCACAATCGCCATGTTTAGGTCGAAGTGGATTTTAGCTGTCAAAACTATTGGACCTCATCCATATCAACAACAAAACATATTTTGTTCAACTAATACAAATAATTATAAAATATAAATCAATTTTTGATATAATTTACAAACATTAAATAATTATTTCTATCTATCTATCTATTTTCTAAATATTTTTGCTAAACGTAATAAATGTTTAGCAAAAATCGAGATTTACTCATTTTGAAATTAAAAATATCTAAATTGTAAAGATTTAGATTAACTAATTTTATTATTTTATATATGGGATGGCCAACTTATATTTCGAAGTTCAAAAATATATATATGAAAATTTGTTTTTTACCTCTTATACAGCGTCATTTTAAAGGAAGATATCGCTGTTATTACGATCCCATTTTAAAAAATTAAAAGCTCTATATAATTAAACAAAAACCATTGACAGTGACCCATTCATTAGCAAAGTGTTTTGATATACAGGGTCACAAAAGTCGCACCGAGAATTTTCGTTTTCTTTCTTTAATTGAACATGTCATAAGTAGACATTTTAATTCCTTCAATTTTGCCTGAATATACTTTCAAAAAACAAAATTTAGCTCACTTACGCCCAGTTTCATCAATTGGCAAATATTTTTGCTCAAGCTAATCAAGCTGTATATCAAAAATTTGTACATTATAGTTATATTTCTCCAAATGTATTATAGACATTCTCGAAAACATTAACTTAATTAATAGAGTCACTTTTCGCTCAAATACATTGTATTTTTTTAAATATGTCTCTTAAATATTTTTGACAACCTTGTATTAAAAATCTTCTTACCTACTTTATCAGTGAAGATAATATATATTTCTAAATAAATAAATAAATAAACATTTCCATACATGATTGTTAGGATAGATACTTTGAATAAATCAATTAGTCAATACAAGCTTTTTATAAACTTTTTTGACTTCTCCTTTTGCAGAATATTTCTACCATTCTTGCAATTTTGTTTTATTTTATTTGCCACAAAACTTGCCCAGTGTTTTATTTGTTTTTTATCTTTTTTAAACTTTTATAATAACATATTTTATCAATAATAATATACCCACTCAACAAGGGCAAAGATGACTATTTATAAAATCTTCAAAATCTATCATGTAAAAAAGAAACAAAACTCATTCTGGTTTGACGCAACATGACTGCCCAATTACCATCTTTTTATTCAACTCTTTCTTTTTATTATCTTTTGTATGGTGCCTTCAAAATTCCAGTCCAATTTGGTTGAACAAATCAATCTTTTGTTTAGAAAACTTGACACTTGCAACATGGTAGTGGATCTTTATATAAACAACATTCTGGTAGCTGATTTTAAAATATTTAAAACGTGTACAGGAGAACTAAAAGATAGGTATTCAGTTGAGATTTACGACACACTGACCAATGCATAAATTAGGAAGTGGAAGTGCTTTTATTTGTTTGCAGAAGACTAAAAAGGTTCGAACAAGTGAAAGGTGTGAATTTTATTTTAAAGCCATAAATTATTCCAAGTGATTGTTTAAACCAGAAATGAATCTTTTTATGGCTTGTTAGCACCTTGTATATAAGCCCTTTTATTACCTGGTAACAACTGTATCACATTACAGAAGGAAGCCGGTGTTTTTTGTCATTGTTAACATTTGGTCTTTGTATTTACGATTTTCCATTGCAATAAATTCGAATTTGATTATACATTAACTTTCATGAAAGACTTTGAGATCTTTTTTATTAGCTATTTCGTTTTGTTTAAAAAAAGGAATTAGGTTGACGAATAAATAATAACAAATTAAAAAATTAGTCCAATATGGTCTTTCTATCAAAGAAATAATATATTTGGAGAAAATCATGATTAACTCTATTCAATTCTCTGCATAAACAATGATTGCACTGAAATTTCTAGTGGGAAAATTTAGAAATAAATTCATTTTCTTATTGCCTAACCTTTATTAGTTCCTTACGACTTCTATGAAACTTTTAATGTGGGGTAAAATAACTTTTCCCCATTTGATTTTATTTGTTTATATCCTGTTGTTATTTTTTTCGTGCTCTCATAAATGCCTCTTGTCGTATACTATTAAAGTTGATTTATCAATACATTTTGTTTTAATAAAATAATACTTTATTATGTTATTATTTTAATATTAAAATAACTGATGTAGGATTATGTAGCCATACTTTTGACAAGGTTGAACATTTAAAGGATAGAGAAGTAATACAGAAAAGAGGCAATATATTAATGATGAACATAAATAGAAAAATGTGTTAATAGCTAGATAAGGAAGACAGTAGTAACAAAACGACTAAAAATAAATGATGAATACTATTTAAAAAATAGCATAACCTAAACAATTCTGATCCAACATAACTCAGCAATTATTAGACATTTAGTTTGAAGTGTATCTTGTTTCGATCTTATTAATCCAGAATTTATAAAATTTTGCTAAAGATCGCCTAATGAAAAAATAGATGATCTAATTTTGCACGCTCATGTGCCAAGCGTTATGCACAGTGTCATTTTTGTGACAGTGGTACAGCAGTGACCTTATTTTTGCCGAAACCAAATTAACTTCTGAAATTGTGGGAGGCTGAAAGCATTAGCGCCAACCTGTTTTTTATCTTTTCACAAAGTTGTGGGCGGTAAAAAATAGAGCTCTTGAATTACTCAGTTTTACAGTATTGGAAAACTTCTGAATGACATGCCAACATTTTATAACTTTCTCTTTAATTCTCCAGATGTTGTTTTGGGATTATTAACAATGTTTCATATTACACATTCCTATTATATATTGAGTAAATTCTTATCTACCTCTATTACATGCATCACTATCTATTTTTTATCACTCCGCCACTTTTGTAGATCTAAAACTATTTTGCCTTCACTGTTCCAGTCTTTGCTTTAAATCTCTTTAAATATTTTCTACTAACAATCATTAACATCGTCATTAACATACCGTCGTCACTTGAAATCAGTACTGATGAAATTAATTAAGACTTGATGAAATCAGGACTTACTATAACAAGGATTCAGATCCGTTAGATCTTCGTAGGCGCCGTATTTGTACTAAGACAAATCACAGAAAAGGCATCGAGTACAATAAACCAGTATATCTATGTTTTATAGACTTGACTTGATCGCATCCAAGTCGAAGACGTCTTACACCTACTGTATAAAAGAAACATACCAATCAATATTATACAAACCATCGAAAACATCTACCTCCATAATCGAATACAGGCAAAGATAAATAAAAACTAACACAGTGTATACCAGTACAAAGCACAGTCAGACAGGGTAGCTCGTTAAGCCCACTTCTCTTTAATATAATAATGGACGAACTAATACAAGAAGTACGTAAAGGTTATGGCTACAGAATGTGGAACAAAGAAATCCAAATATTATGTTATGCAGACGACGTCGCATTAATCGCCGGGACAGAAGACGAGCTCCAAAGATTAACACATATCTTCAATACAACAGCTAAGATATACAATATGATAATATAAGCAAAAAAAACCAAATGTATGACATCTAAATACCCACTACGGTGTAAAAATTGTGTCGAAATTGATGGGAAAATAATAAAGAAGAAGAAGAAGTTCGACAACACAGCTTAAAAGCTAGTAAAGCGGCGGGATTTCGTAATGACACAATCTGGAAGAACAAACACCTAAAACAAGAGACACAAAAACAAGAATCTATAAAGCAGCAATTAGACCTATATTAACATACACAGCGAAGAAAAGACTGACACATCTAAAACGAGACGACTACCAGAAACAACAGAGATGAAAATACTCCGACGAATATCAGAGAAAAATCTGTTGGATAGCACGAGATAAGTCACCAAATAGACGAAGAAGAATTGGCAGACCAAGAAAAAGATGGTGCGACAATTTAAACAATTGAAGAGGCTAATATTGAAGAAAAAACAGGCTTTAAAGCCTCCATACAAGAAGGAAGAAGAAGAAGAAGGACTTAGTACTGAACACTAGCTGCACATGCAACTAAAAAAATTAAAATTTCGTAAATGAAAAATAGTATCATAAAATAGTAGCCTTTAATTAATGAAGAAACTCATAAATATAGAAAATGACAAAAAAAACATTTTCAAAATTGATTACAGTACCAAGAATTACATAGGAAAGTGGAACTTGGAACCCAATACATTATAATAATCATCGCGACATTGCGACGAAGAATCATTAAATAAAAATCGCAAAATACGTTTGTTAATTTTCAAGGGAACCCATTTCTATATAATAACACAATCGAGCATGAAGAGACCCTCAACCATGATTAGGACTTTCGGCTTTTATGGAAAATTTTCACTTTGCACGAAACTTCAAAATCTCGAATAGAAATTCCTCCTTTTTTCTGTATTTAGATCACCTTTCCAAAAAATCTCATAGTTTTTTTCATACTGTAGCTGATAAGTTCTTCACGCAAATTATATTCCTTCCTAAAGCCCTTCATCTTACTGCGCCGCCTCCTTGCAAAGGTTGGCGGTCCACGCATATGGACAGTCAAACCATCTCTTCAGGTCTTTTAGCCTCGAGTTCTGGCGTCTTCGTACTGATCTTTTATATTAAGTCTACAGAGGTTAAATCGGAGGATCAAATTGAACAATTTGTAACAGTTTTTCGTAGCAGATCAATCAATCGAATGTTATATTTATTAAAGAAGAACTCGAGCCCTGGTACTGTGTCCTCCTGCTTCTCATTCTTTGAGCTCTGGTCAGAGCATGATCCAAAACTTATTAGCTTCATTTGTTGCGGTCCAGTGCCATATGGACGGCTCCATGTAAGGATTTTGCCCAAGTCTTCATTTGGT